CATGTTTTACTTATTAAAAGAACAGATGCTCTTCAGCTGAGGTGGTGTCATCCCCAGAGTTTCTGCAAAAGGTTTCAAAGCGGTGAACACATTTTTTTCCTCTGAAAGCCAACCAGATAGGAACAGGTAGGTGGTGGGTGAGATGTGTTGCTAATCTATCTAAAAGCCTGGTCTTTAGATAAAGAAGACTACCTATAGATTAGGAGTCACTCTTTCTTCATTTAAAAAAAAAAATGTCTGATGACCCAACGTCTGAAAGTTATTCTTGAAGGAATGTTGATTTGTGCTTCAACATATTTGATGGTAAGGTATTTGCGGGCTCTATATTGCCAGGAGTTAATAATTTTCCCCTTACCTCAGGTTTTTAGCTATTCTAAAAGCAATTCAAAGGTATTTTTTAATCCTTCATTGCTAATTGTTTTAATTTACCTCCATACCCAGTACCTCACACCTGTGGTTTTGAATAATCTAAATACCTCAGTCACTTTTAAGAACCTTTGCAATCATTTGGCTCAATCTTTGAGCTATGTTTTTTTTTTTTTAATTGAACTAAATGACATTGTTTAGGGTAATACTCACTTGCTGAAGCACGACCTTGTGTGATTTTGTATTTTAATATTTATAAAACATGGGACCTGGGCTGGGAAAGTGGCTCAGTGGTAGAGCACTTGCCTTGCATGCATGAGGCCTTGGGTTCGATTCCTCAGCACCACATAAGCAGAAAAGGCCAGACATGACACTATGGCTCAAGTAGTAGAGCGCTCACCTTGAGCTGAAGAGCTGAGGGATAGCACCCAGCCCAGTGTTCAAGCCCCATGATCCCAAAAACAAAACAAAACAAAATGGGACCTGGAATATGCAACTTTTAACTGACTTGGCTTTGTTTTGAGGGGCAGAATGTCACTCAGTGTTAGATAACATATCTAATCTCCCAAACCCCAAAGCATTTAACTCTTGTTTTGAGGAAATAAGTTCTTTGAAAGAAGCCACTCCTCACTGGTTTTGATCAAACTAACTTTATATTTCCTCATCTCTCTTACTGAGACTATGTTTGAGGAGACTGTTTGCAGAGCCAGTGTTGAATCACATGGGCTTCTTGATGTGAATTCCATGTCGATTTTTAACACTAGCAAAAGTGAAAAGATTGTTGTCCTACACTTGGTGCACATCCAGGAGCCAAGAAAAGAGAAGCTCATGTGTAAAAAATATCTGAAGCCTGAGGACTGAAGATCCTGACAAATCTTTAGAGTATGATTATTACTGTTTTAAAATGACTGGTTTTAAAAATAACAGATTTTTTAAAACCTGAAAACAGATTTGTGCACTTAGTTGCTTTAAAATCACTTTTATTTCTCCATAGAGATGTCAGGATTTCAAATCATGTGTTTAACTCACAACTGCATAGGCAACGTTGCATCACTATTCCATAGATTTTCTTCACCAGTCAAACCTAGCTAAGTCTGTGGGAAAACAGTCTCTCCCAGCCTTAGTTCAGATAACCCCTGTGTTATATCTGTGTTAGCCTGGTGGTAGCCCATCGAGAGTGGGGAGGTGGAGATTCTTAAAGACTCCAACATCACAGAACCATAGTATGAGCACTGCATAGTCAGGCTGGCAGAAACCTGGTATGCTTTGAATTGAGTACTTGCAAACAGTTACTTGGCCTGTGTGCTGTGATTTACCCAACCTGTGAACTGACTTGTCATCTGTCTGATACTTGGTTTGGTATAAACTGTTCTTGTCCCCTTGCTGATGAAGAAAACAATCACTTGCATCTATGTGTGCCCCCACCCCCATGTCATTATTACTCTTTCCCCTTTCCCTTTGTGGAGGCTCTCAAATGGATCTTCTAATTTACAAATGTCAACTATATTTTTATATTAGATTCTGCCTATGGTGAGAGAACTCTGTGATGTGTATTTTATGTATGCTGAACACATTTTTATAATTTGGCAGACTTGAAGGAATGGTCTGATAATAGTATGTATCTTGCTGGCTAATATATTTAAGATTTTACGTTTATGAAGCTATCATTTTTTAGAGTATGAGAGCTAAGCCACCTTTTGAGTAAAGGATTAAAACATTCAATTGTCACAGCACATTAGAATATATTGTGGATTATATAAGTTAATTATTTACCGAACTTTCATATTCCTGCCAACTAAGATTAAAGGACAGTGCACATCAGATATTTTAAAATGCACATATTTTCTTTGCTGTGTGAACTCTTCTAGTTGATTTCTGGAATTGTGATAGCATATATTCAAATACGGCTTGGTATGTAGAAGATTCAGCATTTGTGTGGTCATAATGTCCTGTTTGGGTTTCTTTGGGCAGTATATTTTGTAGAAGGAAAAATCTTCCAACACCAATCATTATAAGAAACTAGGCTGTAGCCGGGTGCCAGTGGCTCACACCTGTAATCCTAGCTACTGAGGAGACTGAAATCTGAGGATGGCGGTTCAAAGCCAACCTGGGCAGGAAAGTCTGTGAGACTCTTATCTCCAATAAACCACCAGAAAACTGAAAGTGGCACTGTGGCTCAAGTGGTAGAGCACTCGCCTTGAGCTGAAGAGCTGAAGGACAGCACCCAGGCCCAGAGTTCAAGCCCCACAACTGATAAATAAATAAAGTAGGCAGTAAAGAGAAAAGCTAGGAAGAGGAAATGCAGAAAGAAAAAAGAAGCAAGAGAATGGAAATGAGCTCGGATAGATGTGGACCCTCTGGCCAGATATGTGGCACAGTGTTCCCTCTTGTGACCCATGGGAAGGAGCTGAGCTCTATTTCCCAGTTGACTTGGGAATGAGGTAGACCTTCGGGTCACACTTCCACAGGCCAGTGGTTCTGAGTTTTTACACTTTGCAGATTAGTCCTCTTGTGAGAACCAGAAGCGGCAAGCTCTAAGTAAAACTTAGGGAAGTATTTTGAACAAGCTTCTAGATGATTCCAATGTAGGTAGTCTGCATAAGAGAAATAATCCCTATGCTGTTGTCTTTTGTTATATTCTTAGTACATTGGGGAGAAGAATCAAAACCTAGGGAATGACATAGCAAGGATAAACAGTGTAATAAGAACACTAAGGAAGTGCTTCTAAACCACTGGCTTCTAAGGAAGACATCTGAGCCTAGCTTGCGGTCATGTGGTGGCTGGAGGGGACTCGGTTGTTCTCATTTGGGAGTCATGTGGAAGCCAGTGAGTGGAACTTTTGGGTTCCACTGAATGAGAATTTGGGACCTGGTGCAGGGGAAGTGGTTAAGGTAGAGTTGCATTTTAGTAGATCACTGGTGGCCAAGAGAAACACAAAGGCAGGAAGACTGAAGCCACATCACATCATTACAAGACCAAGAAAACTAAGTAAATTTGGCAGTGGTTTGAAAGTTCTTGGTCATGTATTTTCACTGTAACAATTTGCATTTCAGAGTGACTCAGTCCTTGAGGAAGTGAAAAAGTAAAGGCCACCCTTCTACTTACAGGTATTTCTACTCGGTACCTAACATGTTCAGATAAATTAACAGTGTTTAGGCTACACAGCCATAAATGGGATCTCTAGTGCTTTGACTTACGGTTTCCAGCAACTCCACCTTTGATAAAGAGAAGTCAAAGCTATCAGCAGTCACAATAGCTCAGAATTTAACATTTTGACAGCTGGACGGTGGTGGGTGATGAAAGATGAAAAAGTATACCATCTTCACAAGAAAAGGGAACTTCACAAGAAGGGGTAACTCAGTGATAATTAAATCAGAGTGAATTCCCCCCCCTCCCATAAAAATCAGAATATGCTATCTGTAGCCCAGATGTAAATGGAGGCCTTAGTTGTTCCTGAATTCTGGAAGGTGTTTTTGGACATCTTGATGCTATTTAATGGTTGAAGGCTGCTTGTAATCAGACAGTCATGATTAAGATGTGATTTAATGCTCGGCACAAATGAACTTGAGCAGCAGAGTGGGTGTTTTTGAAAAGGGCAACGTTAATTTGGTAACGTGAGCGGAATAGTCTTGGTCTTGCCACCTGTGGATGACAGTTAAGATGGGGGAAGGGAGGCTGTTCCCCAGGCTAATTGTGGAGACGCCTGAGTCTCAGGATGAGTGCCAAGCTAGTCATCCCACAGGCGTGTTTGCCCAGCAGAAGGGTGTCCTGTAGCTCACAGGCGTTCGCCTCCATACTGTGTGTACACGTGGTAGAAGGGAGTCTTCCTAAAAGTGACCCAAGATTTAAGGCTAAGGGGTCATAAGTGAAAATGAGAGGCAGAGATGTCAAAATAAGACCTCCATAAACATGCTGCTCTTTTTCTCCCAAACCAGTTTGTGTTTCAGGTGGTGGGACAGTCGCCAGACCCACCCCTGGCGGTTTGGAAATGCCAGTTTCCCAGCGCGTGTGGTCGGTCTGCTCGTGGAAAGGGCCAAGCACGTCTCGCTCCTCCCTCGGAGTGCGAGCCTTTGTCCCTTTCGATTCCCGATTGGCTGGGGCCGCTATCGCTCCGCCTCCTCTAGCGTAAGAGGGCGGAGCTTTGTGACGTATACAGTGACGACATCCGAAGGTATAAATAGCCCCGCGGGTGTTGAGGTCTCACAGGAGCCGCCGGTGAGGGGGCACCGAGGAAGCCCTATTAGAGGTAGCTGGAGAGCCGGAAGTGGGCGGGGCCGGCGTCCTGGCCTGCGCCCTGGGGCCGTTAGGGCTGGGCCCGGCGGTGCCTTTAGTGTGGGGAGGCGGCGGGTCCCCTGGGGAGGGGCCGGCTTGTAGGAAGCTGGGACAGCAACTGGATGGCGGAGGTTGGTGTGGGCCGCGGGCGCCCCTGGCCGCCTGGAGTTAGAGCTGATGGGCACGCGCGTCCTCCCGGGTTTCACTGTGGTGTTAGCAAATGTAACAGAGACCCGAGGCGCCCACAGCCACGCTGGGGGGGGGGGCGGGGCGGGGCGTGCTCGCGGCGGGGCTGGAGCGTTGCACCCGCGCTGGGGGCGGGGCCAACGGGCAGGAGGCGGGGCTCCGCGCGGGGACGTGGTGGGCACCCAGGAAGTCGCTGTCACCTCCAACAGCCCTCGCCATGGGCGCCCCGCTGGGGGGGCGTGGTGCCGTCGCGGGAGCACTGTCTGGGGCGCACTGAGGAGCGCGGTGGCCCCAGCGAGAGGGTGGTGCTGGGGCAGGTGACCGCACGGCCTGGTCAGCCGTGATCTGTAGGGACAGACCACCTCTACCTACCCAGACATTCTCAGCGTCCTCCTCGCGGGCCTGCCAAAGCTGCACTGGTGTGTGTGTGTGTGTTCAGAACACGACTGTAGTCTTTTCCTGACGGGATTCATCCACTTCTCCAAGGAGTCACCTCAGCTAGTTGTTACTTTGTTCTGACCTCGGGTAAGGTGAAATGTGCCTTTGGGACAGTCACCCCTTTTTGCTATGACACTCTTAAGTTTTCATGAGAAGCTGGTCACTGGTGTAATTGCTGTCACCCAACGGTGCTACTTAGCCCCATGAAACGTGTTACCCCAGGTACTGGAGGGATGTCGTTAAGGTTCATTATGTCATCATATTCTGCTCTTTAGGAGGTCCTATGGGAGAAAATTTCTTTTCCTCAACCACTTACCCACACCTTTCCTATTCTGTGGAGGTTGTATGATAGCTCAGGAATGGATTTGAATACCCGTGTCTATCCAAGAGAAGGACCTATGGTTTGTGCTAAGGTGCTAACCTCACCTATAACTTCATCTTATTTTTCCTACTATAAAGTTTCCCTTACTAATGAACAGATGACAGTGCATCACCAGGCACTTTAACACACTTAAGAATCAGACACATATACCCCCATACAGGGTTGAAGAATTCTGTGCCTCTGAATTATGAGCTAGACAGTATAATACCTTTGGTACCACTTCAAAGTCATTCAGGAGGAGGGGAAAGATAGGTGGAAATTAGGGCAGAGAGAAAGGAAAGCTATGAGAAAAAAAGTGTGTATGATGGCATGTGTCATAATACAAGTAAATTATACTTAGGATTAATATGAACAAAATAGGCAAAACATTCAAACTTAAGGATGAGCAATGTGTCAGGGGATATATTTAGGGAAAAATGCCATTTTCTGGCTGAACCACTCAGAAAGTTCTGAAAAGCCAATGCCTGTGTGGATGTTCTTTGTGGAAACATCAGAAACATAATTTGTATTTCATGAAATTTTACAATCACTGGATTTTACAGTGGTTCTTTATTTTTAATCCCCTGAGAGTCCTGGCAGGATTTTTCCTAAGTTTTTTTTACTTTTATTTTTTGTTATTATAAAGGTAATATAAAGGTTACAGTTACATGTCAAGTAAAGAGTACATTTCTTTATGGATGATGTCATCCCCTGTGTATTCTTTTTAAAAATACTAGATTGCTCATCCACACAAAACTGGTAGTCGGTTTTTGGGATTGTTATCAGTAGGTACCCAGTTTTACTAAAATATCTAGAGATTAGAACTTACCATTAGTAATTTTAATATAATATAGATTTCTCCTGGGAAAACGTAAATCATAAGCATTTCAATAGAAAATACACTATGGATAACTTTGTTTTTCTTCATTATAGTTGAAATTACAGACATCCTGCCAAAATGATTTCTTCAAAGCCCAGACTTGTCGTACCCTATGGCCTCAAGACTCTGCTTGAAGGAGTTAGCAGAGCCATTCTCAAAACCAACCCACCAAACATCACCCAGTTTGCAGCAATTTACTTTAAAGAACTTATTGTGTTTAGAGAAGGTTTGTTACAGTTTTACATTATGTACATAGACACATATGTACATGCATACATATTATGTGCATATGCACAGATATGCACACACACGCATATATACATACATATACATGTATGTATATATTTGAAACAGCATTTTAAGTTGGGAATTTTATGTATCTATATCATCTTCTGTTTTCCTTCAGGGAATACTTCTCTGGATATAAGAGATCTGGTTAAGCAATTTCATCAGATTAAAGGTAAGTGCCACAAGTGGTTATAGTTTTGTTAATATTGGTTCTAAGTTATTGCATAATTGCTAACTTACATTCACACTTTCAAATGATGCTTACTTGGAAGGAGGATCATTCATGGTTCAAGGACAGCTCTGTCAAACCTTAGGAAGACTACCTCAAAGAACAAGTAGGGCACGGTGTTGCATGCCTGGTTCAGGAGGAACAGGTAGGACCTAGAGCACCTGCTTAACATATATGAGGCCCTGTGTTTTGTCCTCAGATCCACTGAAACTAATCAGTCTAAAGACAGGACTACATAGTAGAAGCTGGTGAGGTGCTCAAGCTAACGGACGTCCTCTAGTGCACAGTACTCACTCCAGATATAAGCCTGAATCAGATATAAACCTGTATCCATAAGAATGCTAAGTTGGGCTCTCCAAAGTTTTTGCCATTGCTTAGTTTACTGCCCATGAGCATAAAAAAATCTAGATATAAGAACATGCCTGAACACATCATTTTGTTTTAGTTGTATACTTTCTGGAAAATTTCCCCCCTAGAAATACCATCTTTGCGAACTTTACAACTTTGGCTGGAGGGTGAGGGGGGGGGGAGAGATGGGAAGGGATGGGAAGGGGAAACAAGGGAGGAGGCAACAATGCTTGATAAGAAATGTGCTCATTACCTTGTCCATGTAATTGTAACCCCTCTGCACAGTATTTTCACAATAAAAAAAATACCACTTTTGCTAGTTCTCTACACAGAAACAAATACTTATTCATCTCCTCAGTAGCTTTAAACTTCAGGGACGGTCAGGTGATGGAGAATGAACTGTGTCATCTCTTCTTTTGCTCAGAGCCTACTGTCTTTAAGATGGCGCTTGGTCTCTCTGGGACCATCATTGTACCATTTCACCCACAGATGCTCATTTCCAAAACAACTCTTCAGTTTTGATTAAACAGATCCTTGCTTTCTTAAAATCATCTCGGGAGAATTTTGTTAATAGGAGAGTATAATAGGTGCGCATGTGTGCATGTGCGCATGTGCTTGCTCACCAGTACTGGAGCTTAAACTTAGGAGCTGTCCCTTAGCTTTTTGCTCCAATTAGCACCTGAGCCACAGCTTCAATTCTAACAGTTTAAATCAAGAGTCATGCTCTTCAGTTCTACTACTTGATATGTGCTAGGAAAAGGGAGATGGGATAGAATGAATATTTTATCAACCATTTTGTTCTAGATACTTTAAATATTTTGTCAATTCAGACTTTGAGGTAGGCAACATCATTGCAACTTAAACCTGAGGTTGGGAATGACTCACTTCTAAGTTTCTAAATATTAAGGTGATAAAATTAGAATCTGCATTTAGATCTCCCTGATATCACAGTTCCTGTTTTCTTACATTATAAGATAACATTCTGTGGTTCTTGAACTTAGTCATGAACTCTAGCTCCCTTTCCCTTGTGAATTTGACACTATCACTTCACTTTCTCCCTTATCTACAGTGGAAGCTTTAGCCCCGATGTTACTAATGCTGACTTCTCACCCCTTGGTGAAGAGCTGTCTCCTTTAAGGTGGCAGCTGATACCTTACAACCAGTTATCATCCTTCCCCCTCGCCCACCCCCCAAAAGCTTAATTGCACCCAGTTTCCAGTGTCAGCCTTCAACAGAGAACTTAATCAAGTCCTGTATATCGTTCAATGGTGGGGCACCTGCTCAACCTATATGAGGCCCTATGTTCTGCCATCAGAAATAAATAATAAAATTAAAAACAGAAAGACAAGCTCATCTAGATGCTCAACTGAGTTACTGTTAACTTTTCTAACCAACCCTGGATATTCTTGGATGAATGACTTAGACATAAAATAATAATTACAGTTGTGAACTGCTGCTGATCACGAGGCTCAATTTCTATTTCTCTGTAGCATCACAACATGTATCGTAAACTATGTATTCACATTGAATGTTAATAGTAAATACTGAATTCAATATATAACCAATTAAATTGCAGAGTTAACTGTATACACTGGCGACTATCCATTCATAACCAAAAGGCTCCTACCCTAGTCTGCAACTTCCCCGCGCCTCTTCTCATCTTTCATGTCACATTTTCCTAAGGCTTACGTCGAAAAGAATAGGTTAGCTACCCACACTAAATCAGATATTGGGAAATAAATGTCTTTGTATATTGAGGCTTGAATGCTTTCTTTAAAATACTCAAGGACTGACTATAGCTGATTGTTCCATCTGGCTGTTTTTAGTAGAGAAATGGTCAGAAGGAATGGCATTGGATGAGAAACCAGAATGTGGAAAACAACCAGAAGTAACATCTATTTTCCAAGAACCTACACGGATGGAAAAATCTACGGACACAGAGGAGGACAATATAACTGGACAACAATTTAGCAACAAGACCACTCAATTTCCAGCAGTTCATGCTGAGATCCCACAGCCTGAGGAGACAACTGAAGGAGTTTGGTGTCCTCCTTCCAAACCATCCACACCTAAGACTACCACCCCATCCACATCACCACCGCCAGCACCTGTCTCAGCAGAGTTTGCCTATGTCCCAGCTGACCCAGCTCAATTTGCTGCTCAGATGTTAGGTAATAATCCATCTCCTCATTCTGATTCATCTGAAGTTTTAATGGTGGACGTGGCAACAAGTATGCCTACTGTTATCAAGGAGGTGCTGAGCTCAGAGATGGCTGAAGAAGTTGAGGTGCCCACTCATTATGTGTGCGCTGGAGAGGTGGTAGAAGTGCAGTTTTTGAGCCAAACATCTGTGCAGGTAGATGTGTGCCCTAAAGACCAAATGGCTGAACCAACAACGGCTTCCTCAGCTCCCTTGCAGGTTGAACAAGAACCTCCTCTTTATGATCAAGCTCATGATGCCCCTTTGCAGGCTGTCCATGTATCATCTATATATAATGATGCGCCTGTCATTGAAGGAGTTGTCTATGTTGAGCAGGTACCAGAATACACAGTTATCCCTTTTACTGATGAAGTTGCTTGCCTTAAAGAAAATGAGCAGTCACCACCAGTTAGTCCCAAACCTGTAGTACACCGGACAGCTTCAGGCATGTATAGAAAATCTGCAGAGTCTGTGACTCTTGTACAGGAGGAAAATGCAGAATCTATAGCCTCAGTACACATGGAAGCAGAAGCTAAAGTTCTGCTCTCCAATACTGCTTTAGATAGATGGTCAGTCTGAGGTACTGCAGAACCCCTGGATGCAGAGGACTTTATAGAAGTAGCCTCTGAACAATCTCTGCATATTGAAGAGGTGGTCCTTACTATAGAGACCCTGGCAATACTGGGCAGGAGTCGTCTCTGCTCCAGGAAACAGAGGGCATACACGCAGCAGAGTACCAAGGGAATCTACAGTCATCTGGTGATCCCTTCCTAAACTGGAAATTGGACCAGAAGGGGAAGCAGCACCTGAGCAGGTTTGATGAACTCAGATAACTACACATTTATACACTGTGTGGCAGGTAAACAATGTAGGTAGTATCAGTGTAGATTGGTTGATCTTGGTATTCAGTAGTCTTTTTAAATGCCAAACCTATTTAAAGGCTTTGTTGTATGAAACTTCACTTTTAGGAATACTTTTTTAAACATATGCCCAATCTTTGGTCATAATAGCACAAACAGTATTAACAGCCTGTCACATTTGTGTAATCTGAATAGTCCCATTGCATAACAATTGGGGGATGCTGCTTTGAAACTTCCTAAACGTAAAATTGAACTACAGCATTGTATTTGCATGGGTCATGGCATTTAAAATATGAAGGAAATGGTGGTGTGTTTGACTGCTCTCTCACCGAGTCAGGAGAGCTCTGCAGTAGGTGTGGGGTGCTGGCTCAAGCACTGATTCCTGCCTGGGGGAGAGGAAAGGCCACGGCTGAACTGTCACACGGGGACAGGGAGGTGGCAGCAGTGAGGGGGATAGCTGGTGGCTGTAGTTTCCATGCTATACTAGACAAGTACCCACTTGAAGCTGTTTCTGCCACTCATGTTTTCCTGTGACACAGACTTGACCTCCATCTCAATCTAATTTGGCATTTGGTCTGCCAATCCTCCTTGCCCCATCTTAAGAGGAAAAGGGTTATGCTTGAACCACACCTTCTCATTCTTTTGCAGAAACTCTCAATTCTGACTCAAACTAGAATAATACAGAATTGTTACCAAAGAAGGTGTTGAGCAAAGATCAAATTTTGTTTGGTAGTGTGACAGAGATTTGGCACAGCTGAACAGGCAGAGGGCAGCCTGTGGAGCTGGCATCATCCTTGTGGCTAAAGCAGCACTTCAGACCAAGTTACTGTTTTCAGGTGCTTAACTATCCTAATCACTAGAACAGATAACTAAGGAAACAAGATTGAGTTCCCAAACCTCTCCTATTTGAAAGGACTCAAAGGTTTTGGCTTGTGTGTGTTTTTTAAAACTTTGTGAAGCTATTGCGAACAAATCAGCATACTGCACAGTGTTCTTCCCTAGAGGATGTGCTAAGGGCAGAAGATAAATTGGCACACTTGTGCTCCTAGGTCCTCATCCTCTGCCTCTCCAAGGCAAGTGCCAGATCCATGTGGCAAGTCATACAGGCATTGTAGATTTCTTAGTGTATGTTGATAGCTGGCTTATCTCTTCACTGCTATTTAGAGCATATGATTTTAAGCCTGAGATCTATTAAGGGCCAGGACATTTGACTGTGGTCAAGATGACAGCTAATGCCTGACTTGCTTTCTCTACTTTTTCAATGAAGCTGGTTTCTATAAAGCCAAAAGCTTTATTGACTCCTCCTTTCTGGGCATCCTATAGAAGCCATATCTAAAGTTTAAGAATCTGGAAACAGCCACTTTAAAATGATTGCTTTTGTCAGCCACAACTCCAGTGTCCCTCCACTTGGTATCATTCACAGTTTTTTTCAACTCTCCTCTTTCACATTACCAGGCACAATTATCTAGCCTTGGCTATCACATGCTTTATGGCACATTTACAGAGCTGTTTGTTTAAAAGATTTTAAAACATTACTATGCATAGCACCTGTACCAGAGACCAAACCTTTAATGCTTGCAATTATTTTTTTATAGCACTAGCAACAAGTGAAGCAGGACAACCACCACCCTATTCTAACATGTGGACCCTTTACTGTCTAACTGATATGAATCAACAAAGTCGCCCATCACCGCCACCTGCATCTGGGCCTTTTCCCCAAGCAACCCTCTATCTATCTAATCCTAAGGATCCACAGTTTCTGCAGAGTCCACCGAAAGTTACTTCTCCAACTTATGTGATGATGGATGAAAGCAAGAAGGCCAGTGCCCCACCTTTCATTTTAGTAGGATCAAGCGTTCAGGAGACCCAGGATTGGAAACCTACTCCTGGACATGCTGTTGTCTCACAGTCAGATGCCTTGAAGAGATACGCTGCAGTACAAGTACCCATTGCTGTCCCAGCAGACCAAAAGTTCCAGAAACACACCTTAAATCCCCAGAATGTTAGTCCTCCTACAAGCGGACAAGATGGCCCCAGACCACAAAGTCCAGTTTTTCTTTCTGTTGCTTTCCCAGTAGAAGATGTAGCTAAAAAAGGTTCAGGATCTGGTGACAAACGTACTCCCTTTGGAAGCTATGGTATTGCTGGAGAGATTACCGTGACTACTGCCCATGTTCACAGAGCAGAAACTTAAAATGGTAGGTAAACCTTGCCCGCCATATACGGACTTTAATATGCTTGGGTTTTAGCATTTTGATTTGACCTAGAGATTGGGATATTTTTAAAAACTGATATGAGTTGAAGTATACTAATAAATGCCCAATATACGTGAACCAGTCAACCCAAGTCATCTTTGAACACATGGTACAGTCTAGAAGGGGGGGATTATTAGACTGTTTCAAGGAGTGGAAAATCCAGTTTAAGAAATGGGGAGGAGAAGAGCTGTAAACTACTGGAGAACAATGAGAAATGTACTGTATATGGCGCACTCAAGCTAAAATGCTAACTAAATTAACAACAGTTTAGCACTTGCCCCTTAATGTCGTGGACAGCAAGGTGAGTAAAAATATGGGCCTAGTGGGGAGACAAAGTACTAAGTACTAAGACGAGGTGCTAGAACTGAGCTCAGAGCAGTACATCCAGTGCCTGGCGTGCATAAGGCCCTAGCTGTTTAAGCCTCAGCAGTCAAGAAAACTGATCTGTGCTGTTAAGTAGGATGCATGCTCAGGCTTGAAAGAACACAGATTAGAGTACAAGAAATGCTAGAGTATTTTTGAAAAGCACAGATAGTTAATAGGGCAGGAGGTTTAAATGTTGAGTTTCTGATCTCCAAATCATTTCAGATGTTTCATAATTGAATATTGGTTATTTCTAACAGATGATGAAAATGACTGAGTCAACATTCAAGCTGTTTGAGTCAACATTCAAGGTGGAGTTTACCACCAAGCGTAATATTATATCAATAAACTTCCTGCAAGCATAGAGCTTTGTATTCTTATTTTAAATATGTTCACAGACTTGTTAAAGGCGCCTTCCCATTCCACTTGATTCTGTATTGGCAAAAGCAGTAACATCTCTTCACAACCCATTATTAGCCAGATTGAGCACTAAACTACCTGCTTAACACTGTATGTTCTAGGCAGCAGCTTACCTCTTTCATCAGGACTTGAAAGAATACTGACTAAATGGCATTAGTATATTTGAAAAGAAATCACACTTTTGGGGAACATTCTAAAGCCTTTATTTAGCATCAGGTAGATTATTTCATTATAACACGTGTTAACTTCAAGATAGCAATTTACTGGCAGCTACCTAAGTAAGGCTCCTGGAGCACTATCTCAGTCTGGGTAGATAAATACTATGATTAATGAACCCCAATTATAGGGGCAAAAACTACTATACAGTAGGTCTCCATATATATTTTTAAGTACCCAAGTACCTTGAAATGCACAAGACCTCCTTTTGATATAATACATGAGTTAGCTTAATTTCTCTGGCATTTGCCACTGTAAGGTCACACATTTTAAAAGGTTTGTCATTATGTAATAATGATAGTGACTAAAATATTTCTAGGACATGTTTGTGAAATGCTAGATTTTATACATATTTTCACTTAAAAATAAATGTTTTAATCCTAGTGACAACTGCAGAAAATTGTTATAACAAATTCTTCAGAGCATGAAAACAAAATACCTTTTCCGGTATTGGGAAAACTTGAATATTCAAGTAGTTTCCTTTTGAAGGGGTAAAATTAAGATTAATATGAATAAAGCCATCTTATCAATAATTTAGTCTTTACAAATGACAACCTTTACATTTGAGCATATAAACATAGGAGAACTAGAAACATTTCAAAGTTACTTCTAAAACATATAAGCATAACAGCATAAAATATTTGAAAATATTTTGGGTTTGGGAGTTGTATGTAATTCTATAAGGCTAAAGTTAAATTTATATATAAACCTCCAGTAAATATGGCAACTGCAACCAGAAAAGGGACCTTTTCTCTTACCTCTCTGTAAAACAGTATTCCAAATGTATATGGACAGCAAAATTAGACATTTTTCCTGAGGCTTTCATGATCACCGTATGTCCTATCTTATGAGAACGCAAGTTAGCTTGTGAACAATTTTTTTTAAGATGAGAAACTAAGGGAGAAAAATTTTTAAACATAAATTTAAGACTTATTTGTGGATTAGCCAAACAACCTGACGTGTCTGCATTTTAATAAATGTCAGGCAAATTGAAGTAGTTTCTGTCCCAGTAGCTTCCAGAGTAAATCCAGTCTTGGGCTCCATTGTAGGGATTGGGACCTTGATGGAACCACCTGTTGAAACATCAATGGTGGAGTCAATATTGTGTGTTGTATGCATGTATAGAAATGACCTAATGAAACCCCTTGGTTTCATTACAATTAGTACACATGAATAAAGACAAGATTTATGGGGGAAATAGTGCAAGATCACAAGAGAACTGCTGCTTCACTAGCTTGCAGCTCTTCTCAATAATGACAATTCAGCCACCACTTGATGTACTATGAAAAGACCACTTGAATAAAACTTTCACTGTTTGGAAAAATTGTAAACAGCAATATTCTAAAAGGGATGATATCAACATAGCAACACAGTACCTCTTAACAGGCCACCTTAATAGGGGTCTTAGGAACAACCAACCTAAGCAGTGTTCCTCCTCTGACTTAGGCCTTCCTTGTCTTCACTAGTGTCTTTCTCTAGAAGACATTCTGTTAAGCAATCTAGGGTATTGAAATGAACTTACAAAATGCCAATAGTATTATGTATGGTATCTAGTTCAGACATGACCCCTAGACTCAGCGCTCCATTTGTACATGAGCTGAATGCCAGGGAATTCCCCAGCTATTTGTAGTCCAAGCTAGTAATCATGGCAAAGGCAGCAAACATGTTTGATAAATTTAAGGACTATCATTTTTCTAATCTATGATATACAATATCCAAGTCCAAATCTTCCTGCCTCTCAATCTCCTCAATATTCCTAGGCTTTTACTCTTTTTTGGTGATACTGATACTGGATTCTGAACTCAGGGACTCCCACTTACTCGGCAGGGACTTTACCACTTGAGCCATGCCTCGAGCCCCTTCTTGCATTGGTTATTCATGAGGTCTGGCCTCATTTGATCCTGGTGCTGGCCTGGGCTAAGACCCTCCAATTGTGCTTCCACATATTGCTGAAGATGGCAAGCACATACTACACTACCTGTCATCATTCTACCCACTGTGTCTAGCCATTGAGATGGAAAATCAATCTTTTATGCCTGGGCTGGTCTTGAACTTGATATCCTGACCTCTGCCTCCCAGGTAGCTAGCATTACAAGTTGGAGCCATTTCACCTCTAGCTTTTAACACCTTAACCTGCCCTAATGAGCTGCACTAAGTCATTTTCTTTCCCTTTAAAATGACACCCATTTTCCATAGTGCTAGCTTGCTGAGATAATAGTAATGTTAAATTGCTTGCTGAAGAGGCTCTGTTATATTTTTTAACATTTTCCAAATAGGATATAGTTTCTAAGCCTATCATTATTCTGTCCAAATAAGTTGCTTCTAAAATATTTAACAAAAATGAAATTGGATTTGTGTGGTCTTATCATTCCAACAATGAAAAACCTGAAAGAAAGTGCTTATGCTCTTTATAATTAAAGAATTCTACATTAAATTCCCATTAAAACAACACTTTCCACATTATCATAATAATACTTCAGGGACTATTTTCCAAATATCTACTTAAAGCAAGGAAGGTATGGGATATTCAGAGTTTGCATATACCAGCAGAAAGTCTCAGGAACCATTATATAATCAAAATCACAAAAGTTTGCAAGTCTAATGTGAGGTATACAGTTTGGCTGTAAAGCAAAATTTGCTTATAGAAATAAAATCAAGATTATCTAAAATAATTTTAAATGTCTATCAGGCCTTAGACCCCATGCCATTTGATTTCTTGCACAGAAAATGGGGGGGGGGTGTCAAAGTTGGTGGGAAACATTTTGTAAAGTGCTATATTAACAGCAATTGGTGTAATTGCTCACATGTAAACTCTAAGAGAACATTCTCTGAGGGCTGTCTGATAGTCTACTGTTTTTGGACACAGTTGAGTCAGAACACCAAGTGTACTAGATGTGAATCTGAGGAGTAATGGCCTACTATAGGGTCAGGAGCTCTTCCGACCTCCACTTCTAATTCTGAGCACTCATGTCCGGAAAGTCCTCCACTGCCATAATATCTCTCCCTCCCCCCACAAGAATTCAATTCATTTGTCTTTTCAAAGTCTTAAGCATGGCAAAAGAGAGTGGTTTCTCTCTCTGTGTCTCTCTGTCTCTCTCTGTTTTAAACTACCTTTTACTTAGTGCTTCAGTCTATTGAGTCCAAAGGTCAACATACTGCAAAATAACATTTTCTAAGAATATTTTGGAACCAGGCTCAGACTATGGAAAGACTAACCCCCCCTTCTCTTGATGCCAACACTGTGTCTCCCACCTTCTCCCACGCCCTGCTTACTGATGTCCGTAAGCTCCTCTAAGGAAATAGGTCAAGATTACAACAACTATCCTCCTATGCAAAACTCTTATGTAGCCTGAAAAGCTTCATAGCCTGAAGGCTCCTCAAGTGAGTAAAAGTATTAAGCAGGAACACAAGCTTCTAGTATGGAGAAACCAGGGCCACATTAAAGCAAGTTTCTGGATTTGTCTTCTAGGAGGGCTGGTGAGCCTTACACAGAAGAAAATGCTCTTGGGCAAAACTGACCACTTCCACCCTTACTCAAACTGAACCAAATGATTAAGAAACACGACAGTCCTGAGAGCAAAGTCAATGCTCTAAGCACAGGCTCTTTCCACAAAGCATCAGCAGGATCACTGGAAGACTCCCCATGTTCATGTAGGAGCTGAGGAGCTATGCAGCAAGCAGGCGTGGTCCCTAGAGTGACAGCTCACAAACAGTTCTAGCTTTTATTTTCACTCCATTTCTGGGCTGGCCAAAGATCTTTTATTTTCTGGATGTTAAAATATTTATACAGTAATAAAAATTCTCAGTGCAGGGCTGGGAAGGTGGCTCAGTGGTAGAGCGCTTGCCTTGCATGCATGAGGCCCTGGGTTTGATTCCTCAGCACCACATAAGCAAAAAGAAAAAAGCCAGAAGTGGCGCTGTGGCTCAAGTAGTAGAGCACTAGCCTTGAGCTGAAGAGCTAAGGGACAGTGCCCAGGCCCAGAGTTCAGGCCCCATGACCAGACCCCCCAAAAAATAAAAAAATAAAAATAAAAATTCTCAGTGCACATTTTACTTAAAGACTTGAGAATATGACCAGAAAAAAATAAGGTAGTTAAAAATTAGAAGCATGGCACAAAGGCAGGGTTTTCTGCACAAGAAACTAGAACAAATGTTACAAATGTATCTAAGCTACTCAGGAGGCTGTGATCTAAGCATCACCATTCCAAGCTGGGGTAGGAAAGTCCATGGGACTGTGTGTTTGGGGATGGGGGTAGGGAGAGAATTAATTTGAGATAATAGAAAAAGAAAAACTGCTGGAAGTGGAGCTCAAGTGGCAGAGTGTTAGCCTTGAGCATAAAAGCTCCGGGACAGCGTAAAAGTGGTTTTGACTGAGTTTAATGAAGGTGGGGTCTGCTACGTACATGTATCCCTGAGCAGGGATCTTTAAATGCACCACCATTTCTTTCTTCTGGTACAAAGAAGGGATTTCTAGGGCAGCAGTTTTCACACTGCATTCCACAGAGTTCAAGGATATGTGTAAGTGGGAGAAAGTCCAAGATTGGCTCAGACCTTCCCTTTACCCTTTATCCAATCACAGCAAGCATGGGCCTGGGTTTTTCTCTTCATGAGTACATTTACCACAAAAGAAAACAACTAAGCAGGTTTGATGATAGGTATGTAGGATCATTTCTAGATCTCATAATCATCTTTTTTCAGATTAAAAAAAAAAAAAGGACTACCAAATAA